CGATTTTAATGATATATATATATATATATATATATATATATATATATATATATATATATATATATATATATATATATATATATATATATATATATATTATATAATAATATGATAAGAAAAATCTTATTTGTTTATATTAACTACAATAACTCATAATTTTTTTGTTAAGTCAATTGTTGATATGATTTTAAAAAATTACTATATATAATTAATGGTAGATGTTAAATTTTATTGTAAATTATTGTTTGAACATAAAATACATATAGTAAATTATTTGTTATGACATATTATTTATTTATGTAGTTATTTTAATTTAACTAAAATAACTTTGTTATGACATATACATTTGTTGCGTTAAACTACTTCATTTGTTTCAAGGAACATACTATGGTTTTTATTTTATTTTCCGACTATGATTTTTATCTTACTTTGCTCTTCTTGAATATTCTAGAATTTGTTCTTTAGATGCGAAGTTGTTTTTTTTTTCCTTTTTCCACGTTCGGCTATAAAGTTGTCAACTATATATAATTTATATAGTGTTTGATACAAGTTCGATATAAACCCGATGCTCGAAAAAATACATGAGCCGAGATCGAGCGCATAGTTATGAAGTCCAATGGTATATTAGTTTGAGCCTATAATAATGAAATCCGATGTTATGTGAGCTTGAATCAACCCAAAGTCGGCTCACACGGCCTAATTGCAGCCCTACTTAAAAGTATGGGTTAACCATAAGGTTTATGGTATCGAAAATTTATCGCGTATTTTTTTTCTTCTAAATATCGTATCGTATGGTAAGATATTTAGCAACTATTAAATATTGTACAATATATATATGTATATATATATATATATATATTATATATATAATATAATCATGTAAAATTTAATATTTTAAAGCCACACCTCTCATTTTTTTCGGGGCGTGCACTAAAATATACTAAATCCTACACATAAATTAAAAAAAAAAAAAAATCTCTCTACTCATTTTTTTTCTAACTTTTCTAACATGATTTTATTGGTGTCACTCAAAATTCATTAATTTTTTACGTAATAATCATAAAAAATGAGTTCAGTTTATTTAATATTTATTCAATTTCATTAAGCCTTTTTTAATTATTCAAACTCATATCAATTAAATTCTTTTCTTCAAATTCCAACTTTATTTTAGTTTGAACACTTGAAGATTTTTCTCAAATTCGAACTCGGAAAGCTAGGGACATTTTTACTGTGTGATTTTGTGAAAAAGTTAGGGAAAAAAAAGAAGCGTGGGAAAGGAGAAGAGAAGATTTTATACATTACTTTTAGTTGTGTGCATGATTTGTAAAAATTGGTATGTGATTTAGCTTTTCAGTTTTTTTTATTGGCCAAACCACTCATTTCAAGATAGTAGTGTCAACAATACATTATAAAATAGGATAAAATTTATAATTGTTCATCAAATAACATCATTATATTCAAGTTCGAATCACTATTTCTAAAAAGTAAGTTATCACTCATCATCTTCAAGACCAACTTATCCCTTAAAACTCCCTCATCCACCAATTTCAAATGATTGTGTTCATCCTCGTCTTCATAAATGTCTTCAACTTCATCATCAACTCCAATTTTAGCTATTTCATTCCTCTTATCATTATCAAACTTGGCTCTAAGTTCCCAAATTGAAAATTTAGTAGTTAAAGTTTTATTATTATGAGATTTCCTTGAAAAAATTTCGAGACTTTGATATAGACCATAATGATTTTGAATGAGTTAAAGTTAGTATAATTTTATGAATCGGCCCATCGTTGCCTTTTTTACCAAACAGCTGCCTTTTTTACCAAACAATTCAAAAAATAGTAATATTTCGAAACAAACAGGATATAGTTGGTGCGACCGGTTCCGTATCTAGAACTCACCTAAATTTATATCGTTGTATAGTTTTTGTATCGCGATACGGTGAGATACGTAAATATATGGAAAGATAAATAACTTAAAAAGATATAAGTTCAAGAGTTCTATCTTTTATCGATCACACGTACGTATCGTAGCGTAAGATCAAGACATAAATAACACTTTCTATTGGTGATAACACTTTCTATTGGTGAATCGGTGGTAAGACTTTAACTTTGACTATATGTTGCATTTTTTCTTCCAATACAACCATTATATAAAGGATGCATATGTATTTCAACAATCTTTGAAAATCTCAA